AGTGGTTTTTATTAATGCCCCGCATCAGCCCGCGAAATATAAAAATAATCGCATTAGCACTGCGAAGTACTCACTTCTTTCATTCGTACCTATGTTCCTTTTTGAACAATTTCGTCGGTACAGTAATTGTTTCTTCCTCTTCATCGCCCTTATGCAGGTATTTTTAGAAATGCATTACATATATCCTAATTGCATTCAGTTTCCAACACTTTACCGAATTTTCATATATTTTTTTAATTTCTGTTTAGCAAATACCAGATGTATCACCAACAGGACGATACACAACTTTAGTTCCATTAATTTTTATTCTTAGTGTATCTGCATTGAAAGAGATAGTTGAGGATATTGTACGTATCTTAAATAGTTCTTTACTGTAATTGTATATCCTTTATCCATATTCTTTACAATTTGCTCTGTAGAAAAGGCACAGAGCAGATGATGAAATAAATATGCGTGAGGTAGAGGTTTTGAGGTATGGACGATGGCAATGGATCCAGTGGAGGCGTGTTGCTGTTGGCGATGTTGTTAAGGTTGTACTTTGTTGTAAATTCGTTGACACTATAATTATTAATAATTGACACATTCTTGTTGGAATTGCTTTCTTTAATGTCTTTAGGTTCGCAACAATAATTTCTTCCCTGCTGACTTGATTTTATTGTCATCATCTGAGCCGCAGGGTATATCTTTCATAGAGACTGCCAATTTGGATGGAGAAACAAATTTGAAGATCCGACAAGCTCATCCTGACACTGCCAGTCTCTTAGACACCACAGAATTAACAAACTTTCATGCAAATATTCAGTGTGAACCACCAAACAGACATCTATATGAATTTCATGGAATGTTACGAGAAACTAACAAACAGTATGAATACTTTCTACACGAATTTAATGAAGTTTGTAATTTCATTTGAGCAGTGATCATTTATATTTTTAGAAGTGTAGCTTTGGGACCTGATCAAGTATTGCTTCGTGGTGCAATGTTAAGAAATACCCGTTGGGTGTTTGGAGTAGTAATCTACACTGGGCATGATACAAAACTTATGCAAAATAATACTACAACTGCACCACTGAAACGGTCCACCTTAGATCGAATGACGAATACACAAATACTCATGCTGTTCTTTATACTTCTTTTGCTGTGCCTTCTATCTGCAATATTTAATGTTCTCTGGACAAGGTCAAGTGAAGGGTTATGGTATTTAGGTTTAAAAGGTGATAAATTAATTTATCTATTTGTATTCCCTTTGGATCATAGTTACAAAAGTGTAAATAATTATTTCTATTTTCAGAGGAAATGACAAAAAAGTTTGTAAAAAATTTTATTTTTAATCTTCTAACGTTCATTATTTTGTTCAACAACTTAATACCAATTTCATTGCAAGTCACCTTAGAAGTTGTAAGATTCGTACAAGCTACTTTTATTAACATGGACATTGAGATGTATCATGCTGAAACAGACACTCCTGCAATGGCTCGTACAAGTAATCTTAATGAAGAACTTGGTATGGTTAATTATGTTTTCACCGACAAAACCGGTACACTTACGAAAAATGTAATGGAATTTAAAAGATGTTCAATTGGTGGCAAGTTGTACGAGTAAGTTCTTCGAATTATATTGTCTATCTTGTTTTAGCTTACTTCATTACTTTACTCTAAAAAGTAACATTTTACAGTTTGCCCATTCCTTCAAACGGTGATGAAGGTGGTAGTAATATTAATAGCGAATTAATTAAAGATATTACTGAAGGAAGATCAGTACAAGATTCTTCTCGTCCTGCCGATAAGAAAGTTTCGAACCATGCGAAAGTAGCGCATGAATTTATGATTATGCTTTCAGTGTGTCATACTGTTATACCTGAAAAGATAGACGACACTATAATTTACCATGCTGCGTCTCCAGGTAATTGATTTCAGAACAAGTCCCTTTGAGATTAACTATTGTTCAGGATTTAATTTCGTATATATTATTCTATCTTCTTTAACAGATGAAAGAGCATTGGTAGACGGAGCACGTAAATTTAATTATGTGTGCGATACTAGAACGCCAACGTACGTGGAAGTAATAGCTTTAGGCGAAAGACTTCGATACGAGATATTACATGTAATAGAATTCACATCAGCCAGGAAGAGAATGTCGGTGATTGTAAAGACACCCGAAGGAAAAATCAAACTTCTTTGCAAGGGAGCTGATTCTGTTATTTATGAAAGACTATGTCCAGCACCTGTAGAAAATAGTGACCCGGATCAGGTCAGTTTAGATGACTTTCGAGATGTAACATTGGAGCAGTTGGAAATGTTTGCAACCGAAGGATTAAGAACACTTTGTTTTGCTGTTGCTGATGTACCCGATAATTTTTACCAAGTAATATATTTTTCTGGCTTTTCTTTGTTTTTGTTTCATATTCATTAAATGAAGAGTAACACAGTTCAATATTTACATTTTTTAATAGTGGTGGCGTGAGACCTACCATAATGCAACAATTAGTCTAGGTAATCGCGAGAACATGATTGAAAATGCTGCAAATCTTATTGAGACAAAGTTAAGATTGTTAGGAGCTACTGCTATTGAAGATCAGTTGCAGGATCAGGTATGAAACTTCTGTTAAATTATGTGTTCGTAGAAACCGACATAATATTGTATAATCAATATTTCAGGTACCAGAAACAATACAAGCTCTTTTACAAGCTGATATTAATGTATGGGTGTTAACTGGAGACAAGCAGGAGACTGCTATTAACATCGGCTACTCCTGTAGATTGATTACACAAGGAATGCCATTGTACATTATTAATGAACAGTCTTTAGATGTAAGCAAAACAATGTTATTGCTGTCAGCGATATTCGTGTATGCCGGAGAACGACTTTTGTAATTAATATTAATTTTTAGAAAACAAGGGATGTCATAATCCAACGCTGTCTTGATTTTGGAATTGATTTAAAATGTCAAAATGATGTAGCTCTTATTATAGATGGAAACACTTTAGAATATGCATTATCCTGTGATATTAGAATGGATTTCCTGGATTTATGTTCGTCTTGCAAAGTTGTTATTTGTTGTAGAGTTTCGCCGATGCAGAAAGCTGAGGTGATTTTTACAGTTTATAAAATCTAAGATTTATTAACAGTAACTAGTAACAGATACTTTCAGGTGGTTGATTTAATAACAAGCAACAAGAAAGTCGTAACTCTTGCAATTGGAGATGGGGCAAATGACGTAGCCATGATTCAGAAAGCCCATATCGGTGTTGGTAAGATGATAGTACTGTAGTTTTTATCACAAAAAAGAATTGTACATCATTCAGTACCGGTTCTCGTACATCTAGGAATTTCTGGCGTTGAAGGTCTTCAAGCAGCCTGTGCTTCTGACTATTCTATTGCACAGTTTCGCTTTCTGAAACGTCTGTTGTTTGTCCACGGTTCTTGGAACTACAGTAGAATGTGTAAATTGATATTGTATTCATTTTACAAAAATATTTGTCTATACGTTATCGAACTGTGGTTCGCTATTTGTTCCGGCTGGTCCGGTCAAATCCTTTTTGAGAGATGGTCTATTGGTCTTTATAATGTTGTAAGTTGTGACGACACTCTATCATTGCAAATATAAGTATTGTAATATGATATATGCAGGAGATATTGTTTGCATCAGGTATTTACAGCAGCGCCTCCACTAGCTATGGGACTTTTTGACAAAGTATGTTCCGCAGAAACGCATTTAGCTCACCCAGGATTGTACGCAACTAAAAATTCTGGATTATCGTCATTCAATATTAAGGTAATACATTGTTTCTTTATTTAACATCTAACTGTAACTGAAATATCTTGTTTTATATAATATCGGTATCGTGTTTCTACTTAGGTATTTTGGGTATGGATCGCAAACGCTTTAATACATTCATCTCTGCTTTATTGGTTATCTCTGATGGTTCTAAAGGAGGGTGTTGTATGGTCAAACGGTAGAGATGGTGGATACATTGTTCTAGGAAACTTCGTTTACACTGTAGGTTTCTATATCTGCAATTACTACGTATATTAAAGTTTTAATAACATAATTACTTTATTCCTGTTCGTTAACAGTATGTCGTAGTGACAGTTTGCGCGAAAGCAGGATTAATAATTAACTCTTGGACATGGGTCACTCATTTAGCAACCTGGGGATCTATTTTACTTTGGTTTTTATTCATTTTTATATATAGGTAAGTTCCATAACATAAAATATTTTTGGATTATTCACATTAAGAACATCCAAAATATTCTTAAGAATTTGTATAATTACAGTAACTTTTGGCCTGTATTAAATGTGGGTGCCGTAATGCTGGGCAATGATAGGATGTTGTTTTCTTCACCTGTATTTTGGTTGGGTTTGGTACTTATACCATTGGCAGTATTGCTTCTGGATGTCACTGTCAGAGCGTAAGTATATGTCTTTTAAATACGATTTAACATTAAAGATTCTCACAATCTCTTAGGTACCTTAATTAACATATGTGAAATATATATTGTTACAGAGTGAAAAATACAGTATGGAAGTCAGTTACTGCAGCAGCTAGGGAAAATGAAATTAGGAAATCGGATCCTGGGGACATATTCAACAGCCACGACTATAGAAGCTCGTAAGTTCTTTATTTAATTCTTATTATATATTTTTGTCTTAAGAAACAAAATCTACTTATTGGTTTATCACGTGAGATCAGTATAGAAACTTACAATTTCGTGATAGGAAAGCGCAGACTTCTAACATTTAATCTATTCTGCATGCAGAGATTTTTCAGTTACTCTCGTAACTAATATCGATAGGATTGTAGTAACAGTTGTTCAGTTGCTGTTAAGAATTGCCAAATAATAAAACACGTAACAAGCATACACATCGCATGAAATATTGGTAGATAAATTTTGAAAAAGTCATTTATTACCGTTTAACGTGCATGGCTTATTGGGTGTAGTCTTTTAATAACTTATCTATATTTAAAAGTTTATTTTAATTTCATAACATGACTTCTTATGACACTTCCAGTTAATATACATTCGATGTTGCCAAAGCAACCAAATGTGTGCATGCAAATAGCGGTATATCGTTTTCAGCCTTGGTAAAAACGATATTCACAAATTGCTTATCCGATAAATTTATTTCATGGGATAATTAGTATCGTTAGAGTTACTAATAATAATTTAACGATTAATGTTTAGTACATTTCATTAAGTAGAATAATCAAAATTGCAACAGGAGGTCGAATTCGTGTTCGAGGAGGCGATGGTTAATTTGGTGTTGGTCTTCGATCTGGTCGCCACGAAGGCGAAGTAAAATCAGAATCTTCCCAATTGCGATCGCGGCGCGTGATTTATGGTTCACCCCCTATACAGAGCACGTGCCGTCTGCACCATTACGTGTTCCATACTCCTAAAAGATCCACAAATTCCTATAGAACCTGTAATCTGCAAGAACGCTGTAAGCATCCCATATTTGTACTGTTTCCTCTCTTCCCTAAAGTCCTTCTATTTTATACGTGTTAACTATTCTATGTACTACAACCTTCTGTGATCACATATTTTTGTACATGTGTAGTACAAAGTTTATTACATATTTGTTATAAAAATAAGACAAATAATGTTTTCTTCTCTTTCTACCTAACAGAAGTAGACACGATCTATAAAATTAAGTAATAAATATTGATGAAAGAAGAATGACTTTTTTTTTTAAATGCATCATTTGTATGAATAGTACTTGACGGATCTAAATTTCATAATATTTAATGTAACATTTTAATTTACAGTAACAATTAATCCTATCACATTATGCACGATCTTTTTCCCTTTAGTTTATTTAGGATTGTTCTGCAGTAGAATTTGGTAGCTACTACGTAGCAGTGTACATAGTAATTCGAAGACCAAGGCTTTTAGATAAAATACCGCGCACATATACGCATTGAAAATTTTTATTTACTCATTTGTTTCGGTTTATTTATCCGTTGCATGTTAATCCCAGATTTATTGACACGTAGACTTGCGTGAAATAAGGCGTATTCAGAAAAAAATTATGGTAAATAACACAACCCTCTGTCACGGACGATTGTTTATATCTCTGTTTATCTCGGGAATAAACTGATCCTCTGCTTGACATTGACTAAAATACTTGTTGGTATCAAGGAGGTACTGTTTGTTAATGCAGTTTTCTGGTATGTTTTATTCGCGGTATCCCGTGAAGGCCTGTGCATGCCATCGCCGACCTCGCGAGGTGTAAGTATCCCCAGTAGTATGTAACTTGCTCCTACAATTTTACACTTTCAGACGATAGCACCGATAGCTAAATCGCATGGTCGTTCAACGTTATGCTTACGAGAGCACCGCAGTATGACCAACTACTATTATGTACTCCATCTATAAATAACCCTAATTCAGTCCTCTTTTTTGTGTCAAGGTGTGCAGGGCATTAGGGATATCGATACATGTCCTCTGGAAAATAATTCCGTCACAGGAACTTTTGTCAAAATTGCAGTCGACACCTAAGGGTTTACTGAGACTAATTCTGTGTCATTCCCACCGATCTTCAAAGTAATCAGAACTCTAAGGACTCAGTGATACTACACGTATTTCAGTTGTCTGAAAATATTCAGATCATACATTTGTGATGTGCATATCTAGTCTGTACTGGAACATCAGTTACCAATTTGATGTGCCTTATCTTTAACAATTCGGCTTAATACTTAATCTATTGGGACTACAACTCAAGGTCATCTTGTCAGTACACTGTGCATTTCAATACCCGACTTCTTATGAAGTCGGCTGCAGTATTGACAGAACACGCATTTGTTTTTTCAAAAAGACTAGTTTACCAACATTACTTCAATTTTGCACAGAGATACTGCCTGTTGTTTATTATGTTCCAAAGAGGTGTTACGAACAAAACGATTCGCACCGCATATTGTTATAGACAATTGCACCGCATGCATCACAATAGGCAACTGATCATTCGATAGATTACCAAGAGATGACAACACGCGACGGTTACTGATCATCGATTCGAATGTTCTCGAGGGCGAAATAGTATTATATACGATTTAAGAATAGCACGTTCGCGTTCCTCCGCGTATACGATTTGAAACTGTACGGGATGAGGACAACCAACGGCCAGTCGAGGGTTTCTTATACAATTTTTGAATGCACGGCTTTACAGATTGACGGAGACGGCGCGGCTACTGAAAAACGTTAAAAGTGTTTTCTCCAGGCGATCGAACGCCGCATCCAGTGTTAATGTCGAGGTGGAGCTATCACGTAAGTTGTTTTGTCTACATAGCGACGGGCTGGAATTGAAAGATAACCTTGAAAAGAATAACCCAATTGATAAACATTTTTTTACGATCAATTTGTACAGGCACTCTGCTTTCCATGCTCGCCGTGTGGTACCTCCGTTTTTCTTTCTAACAATTGTGTGCGAAAAACACCCGCTTCAATGTTCACGGATTTTGCCTATTCGATTTAAGAAACAAATTCTTCAACGAGTAAACGATTCTTCACGATATAATCGCACACGCACATGTTTAATATATGTGTATACATGTCCTTCTCTTTCTAACAGTGTACATATACATCTTTATTGCATCATAGTTTAGATATTTTACTAAAGATCTGTTTGTAAAGAAACTTCTAACCACAGTCTTTCGCTGCTTTAATTTATTATTGAAGAATTAACTTTCCAAGCGGAATCTTTTCCAATCTAAGAAAGTAGAATCCTAGTCTGTCTCGTAACTTTTCTAACCCGTTCATCGAATGTTAACTGATAACTTTGTAGGTATTGCATGCATCCTGATTAGTTGTTGTTGTTGTTGTTATGATAACAGAGACTAATAGGTTACGCTCTTTCTTATTGCACATGCTGCACGATGCAGACGGATTTGCATTCTCTCAAGAGGAAGGAGGCTCGGTGACGCAAACGGACGTGATCAGAGCGTACGACACAAATCTTCCGAAACCCGGCGGCATGTGATCTTAACGATTAACCATATAGAGCTACGACTATGTATACTATATAAAGTATAAAACAGGTACCTTTTCTCAAGCCAATCAAAAAACATACACACAATCAGAACAACAGACGTACACACATACACACACGCGCGCGCGCGCGCACACACACACACATACACACACGCACAAAGGAGAGAAAACGAAGAAAAGGAAAAATGAGCAGTTTGGGAAAGTCGGTATACTCGCCGAGCCCTACGTAACGCCTGTCTTACGTTTCACGACTGACTCGAAGTTTTTCGCTCGTTCTCTTCTAGATGGGAGCTTCATGGTTCTCGATCGACGGCGGGCCTCAGAACAAATAGTATTAGCAAGACTATCAAAAAAAGAAAGAAAAAAAAAACAAAAAAAAACGACGATCCATTCGTTTTTAAGAATTATTATAAAACACACAAGAAAGGAAAACACTATCCTAGATACTTCTTTTTGATACTCTACGAGAATTTATTGTATTTATCGTACACTACGGACCTCGTCTCCCGAGACCTCGTTAGATATACTCTACTAATCGTGACAATTGTCGTTGCTGTTCGTGCATTTCGATCCGGTGCATTTCTCAGCGCATTTTTATGTTTACCTCTGAAATTTAGGAAACTTCTTTCCTTTTCATTCTCTCGGTTTTTCATGTTCGTAGCGCAACGGGAACCGCACGTTTATCGAACGAGCCGTAATAAAAAACCGTGATGATTGCGTACAGTAATTATTTTCATATTACCGCGTTAAGGGTTCATTTATACAGGCTGTTCATCGTAGGAGCATCTATAATTATTGAACCGGTTAGAATAATTTGACAAGAAAAATACAATGTATGCATAGTTTTGATTATTTTTTAGCCGCCAATAAATCACAACATTTAATATTCCCAAGACACTTTTTTTAAACAATTCCATATCATTTATTCTTTCTATTGTTGCAGAAGCGATGATCGGATCCCACAATGTCCTTTTTCTTAACATGTTACAGTGAAAAATCATATGAAACTGATAATACTATAGTATATTCAATACATCTATTAATGTCTACTGTTTAAAAGTCTTAACTGTTGCAAGTTATTGGCGGCAAAATGTAATTAACTGTGGATATATATTTTGTCTGTTAAACTATGGTAAATTAGTGAAAAATTCTAGTTACTGTTGCTGTGAACATTCTGTGCATAAGACGTGCCAGGCTCAGGACGAGCAGAGAGAAATAATCTAACGTGTGTTCGAAATAAAATAATGTATATACACGTCTAACTATAAGTACTAGGACATTTATTCTTAATAAATACAATCGTGAACCATTAGAATATCAGTCATGCTGTCTAGTGATTATTAAAGATCGGGTGTTAACACAATTATGCCAATATAAAAGTGACATTTTTACATTTTGGCTTGCGCGTGACTTATCTTCTGGTGTAGTTCAGGTACATGAGATGTGCCAAGCTTAAAAAAAATCTGTACTGTCACAAATTTTGCCTGACCAAAGTTTCCGTTATGTCAGAAAAGGATCACATCCTATGAAACTTTTATTACGGAGCCTGATCGAACATTCAGACCGTTAATCTACAGCACTCTCGTGCATAGTCGTCCTGCGCTCAATGCACGTCTTACTATATAAATGGACGACAATGATATTTTAAGTAGTATCCCATTAAAATTCGTCTATGCGACCGGCGATACGTACGGCGACCACTGAATTAACAGTCTTCGCTCGGTGAACGCAAAACGTTCGTTTCGAACCTGTACCGGACACACAGACCGTTAGACAACACAATCGACATTTCGCGTAAAAAAAAAGAAGTTGGGGCCCCCCCCCCCCCCCGGTGGAAAGTAGTAGATTATATTTTTGAGAAGAAAACTAGAGAAAACTTTAAATTGGTCCCGTCGATCGGCATGATCGACGATCAATAGGAGGACCATGTTCAGTATCGTGCCAGAAAAAGACTGTTCCCACTTGTTCTACGCGCGTTCGATTATATTCTCGTTCGTTGTTTCGTTCCGTCTTCTTCGTTTCTTTTTCTTTTTTACCATTGTTTATGTATATTTTATTACTGTAAATACGACGATTGCGTGTTATCTAGTCAAGGATCCAGCAAAGGATCTTTCCGTTCGGGATACACTCTTCCGCCCATCATGAACACTCATTTGTTTTTTTATGTTCACGACTGATTGAAATTTTATTAGAGAGAAAGTGAGTGTGTGTGTATGAGAGAGAGAATGAGAGAGATAGGTTTACATGTATGCCTAGTAACAATTATATATATATATATATATATACATTATGTTCGGAATAAAATGATGATGAAGAAACCTGTTATCTTTTTGCAACTGTTCTCGATGTTAAATGGCGGCGGTTAGGGTTCTCTCGTACGTGATATCGGGGCTTGTACAAGTGCATTCAGTGAGGTTTTTATTAAAACAATGTATGTGAGTACAAAGCACATGTAGATATACTGTTCCAGCAAGCGATCGATGTATATAAAATGTACATATATATCTATATGGATATCTATATAAATTTACTTAATTTCTACAATTCTTTTACGTCTCTATTTTTATTTACTCATTGTTTTTAATGTTTTTCTTTTCGTTGTCATTGTATTTGTAGAATACAGTACACTTCTCACTGATGACGACGAGATTAACGATGCCGTTGGTTTGGCCGAAGAATACATAAATTCCATTAAGAATGCCGAATCTTTGTACGTAAGACTGGATTATTAATATCCGACTTAAACATCGACGAATTTTACTTTGAATCTCACAATCGAACAAATTAATAGTTGATGTAAAGCACCTACTTCCTTTCTTACCTGTGTCTTTTCATTAACGACAATTACATTGCCGATTGTTTCACAAATAATCTCGTTCAAGTTATCTTCGATGGTTCTAGTTTCAGGCTAATAAAGAAGTTCTCCCTGTCCTCCCTGTACCGAGACTTCAGCAAAAACTCCTTTGTGAACGAATGCCCCGGAAAATCGTATTCTCGAGCCCGTTTCTGGCAATCCGCCAGCCACGATGCGACATCCAGAACCCGTTTCATCCGTGGGTCCATGCTCCTTAATCTCTCCTGTTCCTTGGCCAAGACTCTACGCTTCAGGATAACGTTTCGCCAATGGTAATAATATTTCCATGCCAAGTCTTGATCCCTGGACGTCCACAATAACTCTGACTGTTCCTCGGGGATCGTTCCTTGATTCTGTCTGTACCTTCTTTTTATCAACACCGACAGAATACGTCTACCCACGCCTTGTTTCTCTTCGGAAACCTGTGTACCTTTCAAGTCGGAAGAGGCTTTAGTAACGTAAGACGGATCCGTGTCCTTTGGATATTGCGAAAATATTTTCGCTTTAACAGATGAGAAGTTGTTATTGAACTCCTGATGGCGGCCCGTATTACTCAAGCCAAGAAGCTTCGTCAAGAGGTCACCAACGAATGGCATCGAAGGTGGGTTTCTCTCGACTTTCGACCAGGCACGTCGGTACGACGGGGTATAGGGACTTTTGTAAAGCTTGCAGAGACGTTCCATCGCTTCGTATCTGAAGTATAAATAAATAGTTCACAATGGAACATCTTTTGAAGCTTTGTAAGATGGCAAGTTGAACACTTTGATGAATTTCTCATACTGTACATGGCATTTATTGTCAGTCGCTAATTGTATCAAAGTGTTGGACTACTTTATAAACAGTAGACTGAGAATTTTATGCACTCGTAGCATTGCAGAAAACGTAAGAAGTGAAGAGTTTCAACCAAATTACAGAAAATTTACATTTTGTTATTATGTATCGTTTTTGCAAATTGGTTTACAAAATGCAAACTCGCATAAAAAACACTGACCTACTAAGCATACTTACGAATTTATAAATATGACAGAATTGTTTACTAATTAGCCTTTTGGTTATATCGAAAACTATATATTTCTGTAGATCATTGTACTTTTGAAGATCACTGTATTTCTGAAGATCATCGTACCTGTTAGCATGATGAACACGTAAGTAAGACCAGGTACGTCGTAGCCTGTAAATCGGCGGAGCTTGTAGACCGGCTAAAATGGACCTGCACGAATGAAAATTTCCCATGGCGAAACACTTGCATGCTGCGTTCACGAGCCTCGCGATAATTCTACATCTGATGCTTAACTTTTTAATGACAACTATCTCGCTGGTGACGAGACACGAGACCCTGTGGCTGAACGCAATCCACGCCGCCAAATTGGGCGCATTTCTGGAGCTCCTTTGGAAGATCACGATTTCGATCTCATCCGCGGGAATTCGAACGAAAAGATCACGATCTATGAGGGTCACCTGCGTCGCTAGAGTGCTACTATCCATATCCCAAATGGTAATCCTGAAGTCCATTCTCAACATTCTTCTCAACTGAACCGTGTGATCATTCTCCTGATTCTCGTGTTTCTTCTTTCTTTTGGTGGACCCATTCCCGGAAAATATCCTCTCTAAGAAACTGGGTTTCTCTTCGGCGACGATGATGGAGTCCTCGTCGCAGTGGCACTTTTTTCTTCTGGAGAAGAAGTTCCGTTTCATCGGTCGTTCCTTCTCCTGTCGGTAGTTCTTCAGATGGTTCAGGTGTTGTCTCAGCTCCCTGTCGTAATACAGTTTTTAAAATGTCATTTCGATTTGTCAGCTTTCGTTACTACCTGTAGGCAGCGGTGGCAGGTCTGGGACGGTACCAGTAGTCCGGGGTCCAGAATAGTACCACGCGTCCTTCAGTTCCGGTCCCAATAGATCCAAACCTACCTGATTGCAAAGCCGTGTAAGAAATACTGGCGGACAGCTGACGTCGCGATACAGGAAGTTTGAGCTCTGTGTCAGCTGGCTGTCGCCGAATAGCGACAAGACTGAACGATCTACGGCCTTGCAGAGAACTTCGTTCTCCAGGTTGAACGGACCAGGGCCCCAACGAATGTAGAAAATGTGCTGCAGCGCAGAGACCGTATCGTCTGAAATGTTTAGGACGCTTCGAAGACCTGCAGCGACCTTTTCTATCGTCTTCCCAGAGTTTCACCGCGTTCTCCATGAGAAGACAGAAATTCTGCGCGTTTTTCGCGCCGTTTCTCACCGGGTAGCATTCCTTGAGCACCAATCCTGAATTACATTTCTCGGCTACACCGAATCCGAACCGCGATATTCGTCCCGTTAAACATTTCTTAGGGAGTTTCGCCTCTTCCAGAGGATCGAGTTTTTCCTCTTCTTCTTTGTACCACACGTTTCGCTTCTCGAAAACCTTGTCACCAACGATTACATTCTGGCAGGGACAGCTTGAGCAATTTGTGTAGAATTTCTTCGTGTTACAATATCTATGATTCTGGTCTCTGATGAAGAGCACGTCGCAGAGGCCCTCATTTTGGGGGTTCTTCTCGAGACACGAACACATCGGCCAGCTGAAACTGACCTTGTTGTCTCCTTTACTCGGCGATCGATCTTTCAGTTCATCTTGAACATCCTCCAGACTGACATCAGCGAATCGCACGGGAACAGGCGCGTATTGGCCGTTTGTTAAATCGTTGTAATTTGGGCCAAGGTAGAGGTCTTTTTGCGTCCATGTTGGAGGCGCGGAGTCGCCAGCGCCTCCGTAGTGGGCCCATACTCTATATTTGTTAATATATTTTATTCCAGTGAGGATGAATGTTAATTGAAGTTGACATTACCTGCACATTGCCTTCCGTCCTTTTTTTCTGGCCCCTTTTCGAATCTCGATCTCTGACGAAAGGAGATACAGCGTCGTGGTACTTGATGAGGTCGCTGCAGTAGTTTCTGATAGAGAACTTCTGTCCCTTCTTTTTCTCAGTAAACTCTCCACCTCGTCGCACCATTTACTCCAGAAAATATTTCTTTTTTGTATACCACCGAGTTCGTAGTAATTTGCTCTTCCGTCAGAAAATCTGAGCGTATTGATAGCGGTCAGATATAAAAGACCAACGTGGAATATTAGTATAGACATTACTACCCCTGGTGAAACGTCTTAAGCGTAGAATGATATAGCATGCTGAAAGTCTCAGTATTTGACTTAATTTATGCATCTATATACTTCACGCGTAAATTGGACAAGAACTTCAGTGCTCACAGTGCTTTTAGTCTATTTACATCTTTAACTAAGAAACGATATCACCGTGTAATTTTTATCATTTCAAAATAGCCTACAAAATTTTAGACTTGCATAAAATTCCATTAAACGCTGTCTCTTCTACTAATGCTTTTTACTAAAGGTAGTATGTTCCAATGATTCTGTAGTAGTCAGAGCGACCTACTGGTTACCGTACCAAACGATTTTAGCTATTAACGAACCTCTACCTTGCCTTTAGAGTTTTGCGATGCCTCCGGCTGAACACGCTCAGGTTAACGTACTGCAACGGATACATCGAGATCAGCTCGAAGCTCTCGATGCTTGGATCGAGGCCGCGCGGACAGAAGTGCTGCATGCCTCTAAAAATGTCCGCTGCTATGATCAATTTGGTCGGCGTGAGACCAAGCGAAACCTGACGAATTCCACGTCCGTGCTTGCTGGTCTCCGCGAATGGAGATTCAACGAGGATGGTATCCGAGAAATCCGAGTACTCGGAGGCCAGCAGCTTCTGGATCCTCTTGTGTTCCACATCGTGGATCTTCGCTCGACGACAATGAGTCCGCATCGTCTTACGTGACGAATGCATGACGTACGTATTTTCTTCACATCACTGGGACAGAATTTGCATAGGTGTGTCATCTACGAGAATCAGCGACACCGGAGAATTTTCAAAAAACCACGAACCACCGATTTCAACAGGTTGTTCGATCGCGAGAGGTTAACAGACTTCTAATCAAATTGTGATTAAGTCCGACGAAATGAATTCATTTCTGCACAACTTCGCGATAGATTGTTATACAGGGCGTGCAAAATTTATTGAATATTGTTGGTGAACCTATGTAGTTGGAGCTTGATCGTACTTAGCAGACTTGGTAGTATTTTCACTTTGTTGACGAATTAGAAATAAAACGTTCTGTACTACTACAGAAAGTAGAGCGAAATATAGATCATCAAAAGTTTAAATAATATCACCAAGGACATAACTAATTCATGATAGAGGAAGTGACCTTGAGCAACCAATTACGTATCCCCCGATAACGACTAGCCACCGTTAAACGGTCGATTTAACGACTTGTGATGGAACTTTCACGTTAACAGGATTCCTCGACGGGGAAAGAAAGTGAAAGGTAACGCTCCGTGCTCCATTAGGTATCATTGTCTTTATTTTTCAGTTCGATGCCTCCATCGAGCATCACGACTCGTACAGATAGTCGGCGAAGGAGGGGACTAAGTTTAAAGACGCTGGCCTACGTGGTAAAAGGTTGTCGCAGTGCCTTGTCTCGGTTAATAAGGGTATCAGCCGTATATTTTTTTTTGTGTTTTTTCTCTTTCCTCTGTCTTTCGATAGCTTCCTTAAATCGCTATAATACGATAATAAATAACATATAAAAAAAGACGTACGGGTAAAAGACGTAAAAAAGAAGCTCACCAATAGGGGGAGCGATCTTTTGTCTAGAATAAAACCGATGTAGGTTCTCAAAAAGGACGTGCAAAAATGTACATTGTGGCGGAGGTACAAGGCGGACCCCTAATCGATCCGTTCGACTTAAAACCTAAATAGCTAGCTTCTTATCGATTATTCTGCTCCGGGTTCACTTTGATGGTGACTTTGTTGCTCAGAGCGGAGGCAAGTTTCTCGACGCTGCTCTGCGGCAGTTTGCCCGGCTCTGAGTTCGTTGTCTCGTTATTGGACGTTGCTGCATTCTCGGCGATCGGCTTGATCGTTGGTTGTACCTCCTAAAAACGAGGAATAAGGTTAAAACATATTTCTACGCTCATACTTTATAATTATAATCTAAGTCTTCTAGTTATGTATGTTGTGTTTACTGTTGCCCAGGTATTACAACTACATTGCTCTCCTTCAAACGTGTTAAAAGACATTTAACGACAAAAAAGTACAGAAACCACCTAAGCTACAGACCTCACTTCAGACACCATCAATCCACAGAAACAGAAAACAACTTACCCCGTCAGTCTTTCTTCTTAGGTTCGATCTCTGCAGCGTGGCGGCCAGTTCGTTCTGTAGTCTGGACACCACCGGCCCGTTCGCCAGTTCGTTGTTACCGTTTCTCTCGGGTCGTGTTTGCTGTGACGACAGGAAGTCCAGCTTCGAGGGTTGCTTAGCTTCTCCCTCGTACGCACCTATTCTAATGGCGACTTTTCCTCCCGCAGGCTTTAAGGTCTGTCCGTTCATAGCGGCAGATGGGATAACAGCGGGCTTCGGCACTTCCGATACCGGACTGATCGACGGCTCTTTTCCGTTCACCAACGGTTTGTTTCCGTTGACCACGTGTCGGGGACTTCCGTTAGTAGTCGCAGTTGAATTTTGTAAGGGGAAGTAGGTCGGCGGTGGCTTTGGGATCACTGGATTCGGCGTGTCTTTTAGCTTGAACGACTCGATGCTCTGCATTTCTACGGCGTCATCGTTGCTCTTGGTCTTCGGGACAAACGGAAGTGGTGGTGGAGCTGGCGGCGCAGGGGGCGCTGGTGGGGCTGGCGGCGCCGCTGTAGGTACCGGGGGTGCCGGCGGCGCAGGTGGAATGTTTGGAATGGTCGTCGACGATGTATTCAATACCCTCTTCTCCTGCTCCTATTTGTAAGATTGATAGACAATTGTTATTTGTAGACCGAATATAAGATTGGAGTTAGACAATTGCTCGAGGCACTGGATAGGTGTTTATGAAATGCAGCGCTGGTACGCGATATCGAAATAATATTTCGCGATAAAGCAAGACCTTGTGGTGTCAGGGATGACGATACGGAATTCGTCCGATTAGAATACTTATCGCGTTTCTCTTTGGGACGGCTTTTACATATATGTTCAACAAATTGCAACGGTTTATCGCAACGGAATAAATCAACCGGTTGACAGGAGTCGATAATGTTTCAAATATCTACGTGGTATTGGAATTTTCGTTGAAGCTACGTTCCACGGTCACCGGTGTCGAAGCTCACGGGAAACTTAAAATGATTCACGATGGAAACTTTTGTGGAAGTTTGAGTAACTTCGACTTACAATCAGTCAGGAGTAACTTTGTTCCAAAGTCAGAAAATGATCATTTTCGATTGCAAAATAGAAAATGATCATTTACTGACTTTAAGACAAAGTTACTCTGATCGAGTCAAAGCTACCCCAATTTACAGTATCACAGTTTCATCCTGTCGATACTATCATGAAAATGAATTCCTCCTCTCAAATTTCATCTTCTACATATAACACACGTATTCAACAACCGCGGTACGTTTCATCAACGCGCAAGACGTCAGACGATACACATCTGTTTCTTATCAATACCCACGGTTAAACACCGTTAATTGTTCCACGGGGTGTACAAATGCCTGATCAAACACCGCGTCGGCTAAGTCGTCCAACAGATAAGTTCGATAACTAACGTCGTAAGGCCTGATAGTAACCAGCGTTCGCCGTGTTCTCCGTTCTCCATTGCTCGCTGAACCGTCCATCCTCCTACCGTCGAACACCTATCGTTTCCTTTAATTAACTTTCCCTCCCATCGACGATGCAATGTCTGCGTCTTCTTCACTTGGATCGGTAAACTTCAACCACTTGTCTAACCAATCCACGGATTATTCTTACGAATCACGGATTTGCGTGCGCATGCGCGTTAATTAACGGTTCAATGAGGAGAAAAAAAAACGGTGCGCCAATTAAAAATAACGCGCGATTCACTCCGTTCCCGTAATTGCGCCTTGAAGCTACAGTCGTAGGACACGGAAAGCCGCCATTTTTCCGTATTGTCACGTCGTTTCAGCCGTGTTTTCGTTAATCGCTAGTCGCGGTACCTGGGTCCCCTCGACGTTTTGCGGTGTCCCGCGGGCCCACCTTGAAACCGATCGCGCGGCTCCGTCGTTGCACTGACAACAGTCACGAGCGTTAGCTCTCGAGCTCTTATGTAAGCTCTATTATTTTGCACGTCTGCCGTGCGCCTCGTAAGAACACGACGCGCCGTTGCGTTGCGTTGACCAAGCTGAAATCGGTACTATGTACACAGCAGGCGAGCGCTCGCATATATTTAATACTAGAGAATTACCAGCATTGAGTGTACACTAAATTAAATTTCATAATAGAGTAATATACATAATATGTAGTACAATATAACATAATATAATATAGAATGTATAGTAAATTAAAAGTGACCATAAATTTAGCCAAAAGTACTATTATAATTTCCGTAATTCTAAAATAGGAAATCTGGGATCCGTCATTTTGACGGGTTTGGTAGTTCTAATGTTACCACTAGAGAACTACCGAAGCAGTGAAAATGACTGGATTAGTGCATTTTTGTAACTATGATTGAAATGTTATGACAATACATTTTCTCATGAAATTGAAGGAATTTATTAATATTCAAATTTGTGTATTTTTAGAATATTGCCGTGTTTATAAATTTCTTAGAAATAGATATACGTTTATCGTTGGTAGTTCTACTAGTGTTATAGCGGAATCGGTGGACTTGACTGGACTACGGATGTTTATGCAAATATAGGTCTTTTTTGTGCGGTTTGCAAAAACTGGTATCAGACGTTTCTTTACTGTGCTCTCACTGCGACAACCGATGACGCCACAGTGACGTCTTGCGAGTATCAATTGTCAATGGTCGATGACGCGACACTTCGACGTCATGTGATTGTAAACTAAGATACTTATCAGATGTTTAAAATTATTGAATTTTTTTAGATACATAGCAAAAACCGTACTTTGTTAATTTGTAACAAAAACAGTCGACTACTGGAGAAAGTTACTCGCGAAACTAGCCGGTAGGATTCTGTTAGGTAACAAATAAAATGAAGACCCCATCAAACTTCATTAAATGTTTTAGTATACTGAATTTTAATCAACCACATACGCTATAACTGCATAAAATTCGCAGCCTAGTAATGACTGTTGTAGATACGTCGAAAATCGCCGGCAGAGAGATAATTACGTTTTAATCGTCACAGACGGGGAAATTATCAGAAAAATGTGATCAGTCTGTTTATAATATAGTAGGGATTCCCAGTTGAATCTTCTTATAGCTTGAGGACGTAGGAAATTTACACAAAGTTTTGTTAAACGATTTATAGACTCGAATCTTATGTACAAGGTCTGGTGAAAAAGTTCAGGGATTTCATGGTGATCCTATGGAATTATTGTTGAAATCAATAATGAATCATTTATAAAGTCATCGAACTTTTCATTAGACCTTGTATCTATACAGAACTCATGATTATCTAAAACTCGATATACTATAATATTCATTAAAATTTAGAAGACTCTGAACAAAATTAATCTTTTTTCTCAATTTCTGTAAGGCAAAAAGATATGTAACATAGACATCCACAATATACTCAGTTTCCACCACGATTGCCCCATTAATTCACAAAAAGTGTTTGCCATCTAATATTCATGAAATATGGACTCAAACTGTACTAAAAAATTAACGATCTTATCAAACATTAAAACGTCGAATGCCATCGAGACCACAATTACTTACAAGTCATTCGACGATGATTCTTGAAAAAGAAAAATTACCCTGAATAAATTAGAAACTCCCCGCTGATTTTCACACCCGTGACCGTTAATCGCTCGTTTCTATAATTGCGTTTCGATGAAACGCGCGATTTAGCTGCGTCCCGCGCGGGGTAGCGTTGCTTTCGATCGCGAGGTGATTCCGACACTGAGGCGAAACGGCGAAACGTACGTGACTATAAGCCGGCGGATCGTTCCTCTATCTCTCTGCGGAGTAGAACAGTTATTAAACGCTTGGTTCTCCATAAATTCAGGTGCACTTGAGCGTACGGGCGGTTCGCGTACCGCGCAGACAATGACTGCTCCGAAGCGTTCGTGAGCTCCGAGGCCTTATCTGTTTGCCGTGGCAGATCTTCTCGCTGCGTTTTGTGTAATTAACTGCATAAGAACGCCCGTATCAACCGGGGGAAGGTTGCCACCGGGCCCCGTGTTTGCTTTACTCTCTTTCTCCTTTCCCTGTTTGTACAGAGTGTGCTTCTGAAAAAGTGTCGTGAAATTTGGAGGCATTCGCTGTAGCTCGAACGTAACAAAAGATCATAATTAGACAGCGGATGTTTAAGCAAATATGGAATTTTACGGATTAATTTCGCGAAAGTTGAAGCGAAGGAAAGTTTATTTACTCTGTCGAGTGTTTTAGTACGTTGGAAATAAGAAGAAAACCTGAATTCAATTTTCTGAAACTTTTTACTACAATGATTTTTTAAGGATCAGAAATTCTATAAATTTATAGAATCCACAGTCTAATTATAATAATCGTGAGTCTGTAAACAATCTGTGTTGGAAATATAGCCGATTCAATCGTTAATGGTGTTGGTGGGGAAGTAATGTGATAATTGATTTTAAGGTCATTCGTGATTTCTCAATACTGCCGTAGAGCTTTAGCAATATTTTTCTCTCTAATGTTATCATGAATCGATAACAACAATCATTCAGATTAGAATCATTACGGTGAAATTTTATAACCATTCAGTGCAAATACGTCGTAGATATTTCTCATACAAATATCTGCATTTATACAATTCTTAAAAGTCGGATAAGATAATGAGTTTAAAGCAGACTTTATGGTATTATACGTTCGATCGCTAGAATAAGTCAACCTCACTTAATCTGAAGTAATGTACGAATTCATATGAAGATTCAGTGTTCTATAAACAGACACATACCCAACTGATATATTGTAAAATCTTATGAATGGGTTATTCGAAACTCGTCTCCTTACTGCTTCCAAAAAACGACAGTAATCTCTGCCCAATCCACATAATATCACCGTAATCTATACAACTAATAATAACAGGTGATAAAAATGGCCTCTGTTTCATAAGTACACAGCATATTACACGTCGCCTTAGCGATCATCTTATGCCAGACAATATCCATCGATAATAATCACATGTATTTTGAGTATCTATAAAAAAATCTGTCGAACTTTGTACTACAAATGGGATTTGACGAGTAAGGAAAGTCTTTCGATAAAATTCACGGATTGAACATGCATTTCCGGTAACACAACAGTAATATATCGAATATCATAATTCACCATACACTATTATTCCGCGAACCGTTTATTTTGAAATTAACACAAGTCCACTTTTTCTCGTTAGTTTACCTGTAACTATAATAAGTAAATTATCGATTTCCTCAAAATTGGACTTACACCATATCCAAAATAAACAGCTCCCATCACAAACTACTAAATCTCTATATTTCCTATCCCATACAAGAAATAATTCCCACACCAGAATGTAATCATTCTCAAACTTAAATCATCCATTATCTCCAACATAAGTATCTCACAAGTCCACATATATCAGAATATCCTCGTCAGGTCCAATGTATGGAAGACGCCTCCAAGTTTCACAACGCTCTTCACAACCATCCTGTATACATCAATATATTAATACATTCCGGTTACCAGGCGGTAGGTAATTTCCACCGGGATACATCCACACCGTCGACGTTTCAGTTACAACTCTGTTGCTAATAAGATTTTTTTAATTGGCTGCCCGTGTATCCCCAGTTCCGCTTTTTCCAACGGGGCGTTCGACGGTATCGTTCCATCATCTACAGAAGGAATGCTACCGCGATCACCGCTCGGTGTGATCAGAGGCTGTAACATCTTCGTCGCGGAAAGAAAACGGTGAAAGTCACGTTTAAGTGTTTAAGGTACGTAAGTGTTCGTGTGGGTTGCAATCGTTGAAAAAAAATACTTTTCCATTGTTTACATCAAAATTTCTGAGAACGATAATGGAATAGTATATCATTCGCAGAATGGAATTCCTGAGGATGATGAGTATTGGAATTAGCAACGATAACAGATAAGGGAGACGCCGTGGATTTTTCCGATCGTACCGAAGGATAGTCACGTATTCGAGGACAGTGTCGACCGCCATGATAAAGCGTTATCGTTCTCTTACCTGCTCGGCCGGCTGATCGGAGAAATGAACTTTTTGCTGAGCGGAGTTGAACATCTTTCGGTGAGCACGCTTGAACTCCTCCATCAGCTGCAAAGAACGAGAGAGACACTGCAGTTTGAAGCGCGCTGCAGCGGGCATTTATCGGGGGGCTTTCCTCGGTACATAATTAGGAGCGTTTTTCATTATCGTCGACGGTTTTGAAAGGTAAAAGTGTTTACATATACATCTCGGTTCGAAGGCGGAATCGAAAACTCTGTGCGGTGAGCACGGTGAAATTGCAAGTGCAACGCTCGCCACGTCCACTTACGGTCATTAACACTGGAACTACCGAAGATGAACGTGTTTCTATCTCGAACATACTGGTAAAAGAGACAGCTTATTGGATATATGCAAATCGATAGATTAACGAACTTCTTCATTTATACAGAATGTCTCGAATCGGGTTAGTACAACTGGGTAGGAGGTGATTCTGTAAGAAAAAATAAATCGGCAAAAAGGAATAAAATTTTTTCGGATGATGCTTCGTTTTTGAGATAATCGAATTTAAAAATTTGTTTTTTTTTACACGGGCGATAGGATTTTGGCTAACACGGCTGACCAGTGTAGGCCGTTTCTACTTATTTCCAGGACACATATAGGTGATTTAGATGAATATTCAAACACAATTTTCTCGAAAACGAAGCAAATTTACTCTTTTTGTTCAATATATTTTTTTATTATAGAATCATTTCCTACCTAGTTGTACTACTCGACCTGAGACACCCTATACATACAAATGCGAGTCATTTAAGTCGGTCCCCCTGTGTTATATTGACTGCTATGGTGGTTCTAGTGTTAAACCAAGCGGATATGGTTGCGCACGAGCTCGCCCGCGAGGATCGTCGTTCGAGCGGCACATCCACGAAAGTTCAATCGTTCGCGGAATCGCGCAATAAATTTTAATTAGATCGACTCTCTACTCGTTATTATCCGCGGATATTTTCGACAGAGGTTCGAAGTTTCCTCCTTTCAGACGGCTGTTTTATCGTTTTAATTAAAACAAAAAAAAACACGAGCAGTAGCACGGGTACATGATTTGATTGGCAATTAGACGGTGTTGATATTCGATTTAATACGTTGAGCGGTCGTTTTGTTGTGTTAAACGCCCCTGTTTGAGCCATTATTAGTGGCTGCAGGCAATTGGGAGTTGAAAGAAATATTTTCTGGAAAATATTCAGGGTGATTCTAATGGGTTTGTTCAAAATATTGGGTTGGTGAGAATGTAATGCTGTTTTTTTGAACATGATTTAATTGAATTACCATTATGATTTATTAATTTTGGAAATGATTTAAAACTAGTCTTCTGTGTATTCTCACAAAATTCACATAAAATCACTATTATGATGCTTCATAAACTTCTGATATCATCTTACGTTCTATCACTACATTTACTAGAAGTACCTTCAGAAACTTTTCGTATTAGTCACTACATTTGTGCATTTTCTAGCGACAGATAATATAGTAGATCAAAAACGAACTGGTTGGTTGAAAGTACACATTCACGTTAATACTATTCGAAAACGATATAATTTTACCACCAACTCAATTTGCACTTATTATACTAGTCCACAGATTAATTAAAAATTATTCCCGAAAACAAAGGTTTCAAACTAGAACGTATTAATTAGAGATAATTATACTTTACTATATTTCTTTATCTGCACATCCATATTAAATGAGGACTATGGTGTCACCAGAACTACTGATATTAAGGCAAATATAAATTCTCATAAATCTGTTCAACCTATGTATTATAGATTCTAGTCATTCTATAAAATAACACACTCTACGTACCTTGTCGTGGGTGACTTTCTGTTCTTGCGCCCTCAGAGCTTCCGGATTTTGGGGCTTCCGCGCATCCGGAGTTCTCTCCTTCATTCCTTCCTTGATGGCGTTCATGCTCCTCTGAAAAGTACACCGATACGTGACACGTGTCGATGATCGATTATCTCGTAGTACAGAATCACGATTAGTCACCGCTACCGTAAGAAATACCGTCAGATAATTCACAACTTGTCGTCGTCGCGATCCGTTAACGACCGTTGCGTACTGCGATACGTTGCTGTCGACTGCGTTTACAACATGTTCGATAGTTTCACCGAAACCATAGAATTAAGACGAGAATAATCGGTGACACTATCTTCTTAGAACACAATATCTATATGGGAAAACCTTATCTCGACGATTGACGTAAGAGATATCGTAAGCAAAGTAAGGAAATCATTGTCTGACACGTTCACTGTCCGAGTCCACACTATCATCCTTCAGCTACAGCTTCAGAATTGTATAAACGTTACGGTCTTCGACTGACTTCAAAACCTTTTATAGAATCTACATTAAAACTAGCGTGTATACTTTGCGATTGTAGAGGAACTTTTAGATTGTTATTCCTGATGAGATGAACCAAGAACATCTTCCAGGACAGAAGAAAGCGTGACCAACACTGATATTTTCACTTTTCAAGATGGTACGTCAAACCGGCTCCAGAATAATGATAGTTTCGACACGCGCTTTAAAGTGAAAAAGATTAATGCGATTGCATCGTATGAAACATCACTCGAATATAAATTGAACGATCATATTATACATATAGTGAATATAGAGAATTCTGTACAAATAGCTAACGAAGCTATTTATTTATATCTTGTAGAAAACACTGTTCACGATTTATGAATTCGCTGATAGCAATCGTCGGGAAGACACGCAAAGATGAATGTGTGTGAGACCGAAGAAAATCTTGCTTGAAGTAAGATTATTCGCTGATGTTAATCGCAACGAAGACTCGCGAAGACGAATGATATTTATATATTAACCCTGTAAGTTAACCTCCGGGTCTTTTGCGACCCAATCATATTTAACACTTCTTTAACGTTACAACAATACTCAAGATTTTCTGGTTTAATTGTGTTTTCATTTCTTCAGAAATTCTTTCATGATTGAAGAAAGTATCGGAATGGAGTTGAAAATAGCTTAAGAGGATAAGCAACCCTAGGTAACTATACTCTCATGTATCTTCCACGGAAGGAAATTCTGTAAGGTATCAGAAAATTATCAGAACCCGTATCTAATGTTAATTCAAGTATCAACATGTCCCACAGGTAAACTTGAACCGCAATGACTACCATCCCACATCCATGGAACTTATCAAGCAACAACGTAGATTCTTGCACAGACACTTCAACTTTCGCTCGATTGGACGTGAAAGAATGCAGTTTCCCGTTGACATTTATTATCCAAGTAGAATTCCATAGTCTACAATCTCGAGTGTTCCCTTTACGAATTTGACGAACTTTCATCAAACAATATCTACGAATACGAAGAACCATTTTCGCAGGACACTGACAAACGCTATCATAAATGTTTGAACAGTAGTTTGCTAACTTATCATTGCTTAATGACACTATCAAGATTCGTCGATACAGACCACGTCTGCAAGAAGAACGAAAAAGAAATAACAAGTTCCCAGAATCATGGGGAAACGCTCGAAAAGATCAGAATTCCAGTAGTGAGTATAAAGTCGCAGACATATTGCAAACGTTCCTACGAATGCTTGGGCGCTACACGTACTTGTTAGTTTCGACAAAAGGGACAAAAGAAAAAGCTGCGCCGCTCCTACCTGCTGCGCCCGCCTTTGCAGTTCTTGCGTTATGGCGGTGCTTAGGTCGGTGCAGGCGATCGGTGACGTCCTTGTGCCGCAATTCCGCTGTGTCGGGTGTACAGTGGCCGGTGTGTCGTTGGTTTTATTGGTCCCGACAACGGAGCCGGTCGTCACCGAGCCGTACGAGACCGTCGACGGCGGCTCGCAAGACGACGTTGATAACGACGATGATGTCGAGGCGGAGTCCTTGCTGCACGAGGACTCTAGGCTGGATTCTGTCTCCGTCGAGCCTGTGCTGCCCATCGACATCGTGCTGCCCATTTGCATACCCATAGCGTTCATTGGCTTCTCTGCGTGCACAGAATCGTTATCTGTTCACTTTACGATCGACATTTCGGAACGTTTCTTGCTGCTCTGTGCTCGTCGAGCAACAAGGTAGAATTGTTGCATCGAGGAGATCGTTGCTCGATCCCGCGAAAATGAATGTAGTCTTTTGACGAGTTTATGGAACGAGTAGATTTTACTGTATTCTAGTGTGTAGCGATCGTTCGTACAAGGGGGAAGAACATTCTTTGAGGGACGTTGGAGAAAGTTACGTGCTTGTGGTTTCTTTGTCTGACATTCTTGAACAGTACATTGGTAGGTACTTGTGATTGAATCGAGTCGAATATGTAGTGGTGAACATCAAAATTGATTTGGGTGGATTGGTGTTCGGAGAAACGAATGGTTCGTTTTATGTACTTGGTGTCATTTAGATGTTCTGGAATATTGTAGTGGATATGTTATGTATGTAGATACGAGGCTCGCGTTCAAGTATGTTCTATCTTTATTGATTTTCCATGGGAAACAAAAAAAGACTCGTACTATTTAGAAATGGTCTGAAAATACTGTCAGAATTTGAGTATAGTGGAATTTTTTTTTGTTTACATAGTATAATTATAAATGGTCTGAAATGTCTCTTTAAAAGTATACAATCGAGGTTCCATATTGCTTGCAGTGAACTCAATCTCATTAGTAGATTACATAAAATATATTTTCCTAATAACTCTTTTAAACAACGTTTCGACTTCTTTTTTAAATAATTATTTATGCAGGATGACCTTAAGAATATCAACATTTAGAGGACATAACACACAAATTATAAAAATAAATAATTACTTAATTCTCTATATGACGTGCGTAAGAGATTTCCTTGTTATCTAAATATATAACGTTTTATCTTTCTCCTCCATCAGTTGATTCATTTATATGAATTCTTTATGAATTCCACTTATCTATTTCTGACGGGATTTATTTTATAGAGTAAACATTTACAGCCAATCTTACCGACATGTTGCTTACTTCTGCAATCTTGACCATCTTTCTCAGGGCTATCCTACGATACTGGTCCAAAAGTGTTTTTTTCTATTATTCTCCCGATATGATTTAAAGGTTTTTAAAGCAATTATTAGAACCTTTATTCTTAATATTTATAAGTGAATAGAATCACGTAAATGTGCTTAAACTTATTTATCTAACACGCAAATCTACAGGGTATTAATAAAAATGTGGGACACTTCATTCACAGTGTGTGAATAACGAATAATAACGAAATTGTACGCGTATTTACTCGTATCTTCCACATTTCTATTAATACCTTGTATATATGCCCTTCGATTTACAGAATGGTTCATTCACTTGGTATCCAACAAAATCGTGTGTTTCACAAGCAAACCTATATTTTCTTCGAATTACGGTGCGAATCGAATTGCGTGACTCCAAACTTTTGACAGTCCAACAAAGTGTTTTACGAATATTTGCAAAATTTGTAACAAACCTGCGGACCACTTGTAAGGCAGAGGTGGTGGTGGTGCTGGTGGGCACACCGATTGATGTACCTCCACCGTGGTCACGGTCTTCCTCTCCCCGTCGCTCGGCACGCCGTTTTCCTGCGAAGATCACAATGAACAGTCATTAAGCTTTTCCGTGTGGTATATCGTAGGGGCTCGATGGTGCTCTCGATCGTTTCTCTTTTTAATTAAGTCGCGCTGTAGGTGCACTGTACACCGATCGTCACGCTAATTCGATCAGATAATTGATCCGATTATAAAGGTACCCGACGCTAGAAAGCGCTTCGTTGAGCGAACTCATTAATTATCGAACATCCAGAGTTTCTTTTTTCATTCCGGCTCGAATTCCTCAAAGCTTGTTTACATTTTCGGGGTGATAGAACGTGAACGATTAAACGATCAACCCTTATCCGGTCAAGGTGAGTCTGATGGACCGATACTTCGTGTTCACAATACAATGGGTGCCAAAAGTTTCCGGCTAAACTGTAATTTCAACATATTTTTTTAAAAGTATATAATACGAATAGACTCTTAACATATCGTACTTTGAATAACTTTGACTCAGTCAGGGTAACTTCGTCCAAAGTAAGTTGATTTGTATGTGAAACAGCTTTTTCAAGTAAAGATACGCGTAAAAGAACAGCAAAATCGAAAATGATAATTTTCTATCTTCAGAGCAAAGTAACCAAACGACAATGACAATAAGTCAAAGTTATTCCAACTTACGGTACCCATATTGAGGATACATTGCTTCCTCAGATTTTGTGATATTCAAAATTTTCTTGCATAAAAATAATCTGTTCCCCTGTTTCTAACAAATACGAGCCTGCCAAAGTTATGAGAAAGATATAACGAAATTATAGTTTGACCAAAAACCTTTGGCAACTAGATAGACTGCTCGAATAAGGATTAAACGATCAACGGGGCATTAGAAAGCTCCTTCCTTACTTTGGATCCGTGATACGAAGGAATGTCGTCGGCCGGCCCGTCGTAAATGTATTCCTGTTGTCTGCAGTTGTCCCGTCGAAAAGCCAATCGACGATTCGCCTCGTCCCGAGGATTCGCATCGAAGTCGTGGACTTCGTAGTCGATCCGTGGTGCCACTGGGTCGTAGAGGGGCTCGTTGTCGATGTCTTCGTCGTAGCTGCGCGAGTTCGGATGGCCTGGCACGGCCATGTGCCTGTGATTCTGGTTCTGGTTCTGATTGATACGGATTACGGTGGTGTTATTTGGCTTGCGGGTCCACTCTTGCGCCTGTGAATCAAAGAGTGTCAGTTTTAACTGCTACATCGATTTACAGTAAAATTCTACAATAATTCTTTCTTTAGTCTTGGTGGAAGACGGATAGTGTGGTTCTTGTTTTGGATAAGTGGATTTAATAAACATGTATACTATTCATTTTCTTTGAGTCGAAGTGAAATTTTGTTTGATTGGTATTAATATTTAAGATTTCGAGTGAATGTTACATTTGCCTTAAAGATAAAATTCCTTTTGTATCTGGGAAATTATTAACGATAAAGTAATGCTTGAAAGTACAGTAGGTTTCCAACGATGCCAATTGCAATTTGCAGTTTTCCTGTTCGCAAAAGGGCTACCGTTAGCTACCACTGTTATCTTTGTTATTTCAAAATGGAATAATTTGTGGCATGAATAGGATCCGGCTGTTAAGAATCTACTTCGTGGATCTAGTTTCTAGTATTTCTATCAACAAAAGAATGGCCATTAAGCAACAGTGTTTTATCAATTCGGTGCGCCAATGTAGAACAATGTGTACAATCCTATTTCGTGACCACGTTATATCGCTTCCACTGACTGTTAGTTTCCTGAGCTTTACCTGGTCCACGTGTGCCCATTCCGACGAACTGCAGCTGCTCGTGGACAAGGCCAGCGGGCAGCAGGTCCTAGAAAATTTAAAGATACACGGTCGAGTGACTTTTCATCGACGATCACCGCGGTGTATGGGACTTTCTAATTTCCAATTAAAACGACATCGTGAGGAAGCACGACCGTGGTGCCGAGGCTAGGAACAGGATGAACGTTCCCTGTACGCCTGGACGAAGAGAATTCGTCGTGCCCGGGCACAACAGTGATCATTATCGCGAAATGTCCTATTAATAGAACGACTTTCTCCACAGTGTAAATCCATCGATGCCACTCGATAACGGCTGTAACGAGAGAGAGATATGCATCCAGAGCCGTAAAACCGCGCGTCGACTGATACTTAATCGATAACTGATTGTACGACCGATTCTCTGCGTCGGTGGAACGTTTGACCGGTCGTTTTTTAATTGCAATTACGTGCACAACCGCATCGAGGGTTTTATGATTCTGCAAACGTGCACTACGTTGAATTGCATTACGTCATTTTTCTTCCTTCATTAATTAACGGAGTTTTTTTTTACGGCGATTAGGTATTAACATCCTTGGATGCGGTCATTTATTAACCCTCGGAAGATAGACACTTTTGATGCCGTGGGTCCTTTTTGCACCCCCGTGCATTATTTCTACTAAAAATGCATTTTTCAATCAATTTCTTCGAAAATTGACTTTCTTTTTATTATCTTGCAATTACTTATCGGAAGCTATTGATTCGGATGAAGTCCTTGAAAACTCGGGTCAAAATGACCCCAGTCGTCCGAGGGTTAACATACTCTCTACGGCTCAGCAGGCTTTAATACAAACGGTGTACATATCCCAATCAAGCACTCCATGTAATACTTAATGTGCTACATAAATGTGTCTCCAATTGCGATCACAATCGCTGCATTTTAATTCTATTTATTCACGATACGCGTGGAGAGACACCATAAAGAAAAAGGTCAAACATGTAAGAAATTTCAGAGGAATAGACGCACTCTTAATATACACATGGAAAAAAATTGATTAATGGTTAAGGAATTCTTATTCGATGAATATGTCCATTGATAAGTACCTTTGCATTCCTTTCCACTAACCTTCCATTTCGGTTGCAGACATCTTCACGAGGATATCGATGGTGCATTCTGGGATCGTGATTGTGCTGCGGCGAATAGGAAGAATTCTGCTGTGGTTGCGGACTAGCTGTAGCCACGCTTGACGTTTCGGAGTCGTAGCCGCTGGATCCGCGGGTCCAAAGCGGCTCCGGGCAGTCGTAAAGGTGATTTGGCGTGGGTCGTTGCACTATCAGGTCAAGAACGGCGGAGCTTCTCATCACCTCGATGGCTCTTTCGAACGGAAGATCGGTAAGTCGTTGCCCGTTGCACCAGACGATCACGTCGCCGGCTTTCAGGCCTGCTGCCTTTGCTGGTCCATCGTCTCTGGTACCCTAAATACATTTTCATTCGGTTAATTTCTTTGAAAGGTTTTGAGACTTTGCAATTGTCACTGGATCAGTGATGAGGCTAATCCTTTGTGTAAATTCAATGTCTTTCATAAGATTTGTAGACCGATTTCAATGATGAACAGAAGGTACAAAGACAATTGGAAATAGTTAATTAGGCCACATGTCAACACGAACCTTTCCCATTGTTATTGCGTACCTTGTCCACCATTGTGGTGGGTTACACATGTCATGAAACACTCTGTACATTTATACCCTGCGAGGTTAAGTCACTTAGAGGATTAAATCACGAATATTCGGTTGTTTCAAAAGTTCACCGTATTTGCCTACAATTTCCCAGGTACAAAAGGAATTCTATTCTTATGGCATGTGTATCATTCACTCTAAATCTTAAATATTAATATCAGTGAAACAGCATTTCACTTCGATTTAAAGAAAACGAATTAGACAAATGTGTATTAAATGCAGTTTGAAATCGACATCACGTATGTGACTCGATGTTAATTTAAACTTATAATTATATAGGGGTTAATTTAAAATTATAAAATTCTATTTAACAAATACGGTAAACAATTTGCGCAAGATTGATAGAATTTCTGACAACCTGAACAGTGAGGCCGGGCACGATTCCCCTGCAAACGCCGCAGCCCAATCGTCCCTTCTCCCCGACCGGGATTCGAATCCTGACCTCGGTGCTCGGCACAGCTCCAAGCCCGGTCTCGTTGTACTGCAACTGTTGCTGCTGCTGCTGCACCATGTGCCAGGTCACCGGATCGTTCGGATTGCTTTGCGAATCATAAAGTACTCTTATAACGAGGAAACGCTCCTCGGACGGTTGCCGCGTTTAACGACCATCCGCACGTTTTAATGACCGATCGGTACTTACTCTTTCACAGGTATCATTCCCACGCCTGCAAGAAAAACACGAGCAATAAGTATTCGAAACGAGGGTAAAGAAAGAGAGAGAGAGAGAGTACGATCAACGATAATAATTGACCCGTTTAAAGAATCTCAGAAATGTGGTATGTAATTACTTCGAATCTTGAGGACGAGCACTTGTTGGTTTTTTGCCAGGAGCGCAACTTCCTGATGGACGGCGTCTTCCACCGGATACCCGTTCACTCTTATAATTTGATCGCCGACCTGAAAAACCAACGGTCGGCCAATGACACGCCGCGAAATAGTGCAGAAATGGGTTGCTTAATCCTAAAATCGATTCGCTATACATGTATGGTTTTCACGTGGACTGGCGAGGGAGTTTCAGTAACCCCGGAAATTCCCATTTTCGACGCTTTGCAGGTTTTTTAGAGTACCTCAATAGAAGTGTCAGACAATTTTTTTGTTAGTTTTTTGTTCTTTGGGATGAAAGCACCCCTTAAAGGTTAACGCGTGTTTTTCTATTTTCCTCTATATCTTGAAAACTATAGTAAATATAAAATAAATTGTTAGAATAAACATCTTTTAACTTTTTATGCTCTATAATGAGGTTCAATGAAATTGTTAAAAAATTGTTGTTTAAATAAATAAATGTGTAAAAAAACTAATTTTTAACAATTTCACTGCACAATTTGATACAGCGTAAAAAGCGAGCAGATTTTCATTCTAACAATTTTCTACATCTATCGTAGTTTTCAAGATATACAGGACAATAGTAAAACACACATAAAGATTTGACCTTCGCAAGGCAGACGTTCTGGATAATCGAATAGACGACGGTACCTGGGGTCAGACAGAGCCCTTATCTGTCTTTAAATGTGTTTTGAAATAAACTTCTTCAAAATATGTTTGTATCTTTATACAATGCTAATACAAACAACAACAGCGCTTCAATTACTTTTTGTAAACCAGAACGTTGCGTGAAGTTTCTGGAATTCTAGGTCCAACTGGACCCAGACATCGTTGCCTGAGGGTCAAGGGGTATTTTTTCTCGAAGGACCAAAAACTGGCAGTAAAAAAATTATACTTCTATTAAGGCTCTCTATAAATCTGCAAAGTTTCAAAAAAATTGGAATTTTTTGGGTTATCGAAGACCTTTTGCGAGTAATTTTGTCAGAACTGTGTGTCGTATTACGAAGAGGCTCACCCGTAATCCATTTCGGTGGGCTTCACCTCCTGGCTGTACGTCGCTCACGTAAAATCCAGCCGCGTATTCGCGACCGCCGCGCAGAGAGAAGCCAAATCCGGATGCTCCGCGGCGTCTCAGTCTCACGTTCCTGGTCACACCGATGACGGCCATCCTGCCGCCTCCTGTTGGGTTTCCAGGACCGCCACCGGTCGATGGCACCAAGCCGGCGTTGGGCGCGCCGGAAGAACCACCGGACCTACGGAAATTAAAAGGAATTCTGATAGAATTCTACTTTTACGTACAAATTGTATACCAACGCTTTCTTTTTACGGTTCACCATTTACGGGGAAAATAGAAATTGTGGACCTTGCAGCAAGAAGGGTGCAGCTCCATTTTTGACAGATTTTTAGTTATGACGTGTAATATTTGTAAATAAATCTACTTCGTTTGGTGCACGTTTGTTGCAAATCCGACAGCAGATGAGTGATTTTTTTATGATCTTCTTTTTAAGATCGATTTTTTTTAATATTAACAGCATAAGTACTTACACGTCGACTTCAACGCCCCTTACTTGGCTTATTACTCTACTACTAATTATATTTATAAAATGCTAAACGCTCCCGTTCAGAGGTTCAATTGTTCTTTGTGTAATTTAACGGCGCCGGTAATCCGAGACCACCGTGGCAGTCTACATGTGTTCCTCATCGTCAGTAATGTTAACGATCAATGTCACAAAAAAATCCAATTAATAGTCTACGGTTAAGACCGCCGTTCTGACCAATCACGGAACGCCCCGTGCATCCAGGTGGATTCGGTCGACGTAATTTTACACGCTCGGACTTAATGAGCGAATTCGATGCACGACGACGAAGCGGGGAGATTGATGGCCTCTAGACCACCGGCTGGAATACAGCGCGCACTCGTTGTTACGCCTATTGTTTCGCGGATTTGTATTACCAGTCCGCGGAAAGTGGAGCGCGATTCATTCGCCCGAATGGATACACACTCGCGACGCAATGTTACACCGGATTTAGCCACGTTAATAAGCCTCCTCTTCACGTTACGTAAAAGCGGGCAATATTACTTTCTCGTCGTTGTTTCCCCGCGCGAAACCGAGCCTATCGCTAATAACGACAATTATTTTTACAGCTGAACAACGCCATCGTGCGTTCGCTGATACTGGAAACCACCTATTCTGCCATCCTTAGCTCAATTGTTCTAACTAATCTTTTAAAATATTCAAGGAAACGAGTTTTTGTTCATTTCTTTGTGTCGTCCTGGTTTTTTTCAATCGAACTTATTTTATTTTTTTTATACAAAACTTGAACATAAACAACTTAAATACAGGACTCGTCATCGTTATTTTTGTATATTAGAAATTGTTAATGATTCCCAAAAAGCAAGTCGAACTGCTGGTATGATTTGCTTTAATTTCGTAAACAATTTTCGTTTTAATTTTCAATTTCAAGTGATCACTTAGGATTATCTAACTTTGTATATGTTGACAATGTAAACTAGTGAAATCATTTGAAAAGCAGTCAGGACAAATAAATCAGCATTTACCAGCTGTCCGTTTACAGTTGTCCTGTTTTACAGCTTCTCCGTCTGGACGAATATCAACAATGTAAAACAAAAAAAGATATGTCAATAAGACGATATAGACGTTTGGTGAGAATTAATTTAAGTTTAACAGTGCAAAATATTTCTAACTCGATTTCTAAGGAAGAATTAAAGATAGGAGAATCTGGTGCTATTGTAAACATAGCCAAAGAAAGTTGTTCAATTCGGTAAATAGCAGTAGAAATGATAGTATTATTTACTGAAAAATAGTAACATTCTAATATCGACGATGTACTGCGTTCGGACACTTATGGACGGTAGGGTATATACATTGCGCGGTTTCCGCTGCGTTTACCACAGATGCCTCTCCCGATTATAATATACAATCGCGTGCAACACAGGATGCCTGCGGTGAGAGACTGTCGAGCCGCGCGAAATGCCTTGCGGGGGCGGCGGCGGTGATGATGGCGGTTTCAACGTTTCCGATTGATTTCCGTCTCCTCTCGAGTTCATTGCGAAGGTAATTATACGGTGTAATTGTGTATTCTATACCCTGGACGGAATCAATCTGTACAGACGGTTGAGGGTTTAATAGTTTCAGCGCTGAAGCCTTTAGATGGGTGTTAAGCTGTAACGCGATTTGATAGTGAATATTTTTTAAACTTTTGGCGCATCATTGATTCGTTGTTTACAAACTTAGATCAGTTGAGTAATTTGTTTTACATTAATAGTGAATTATTCATTAGACGTGTAAGTATATTTACAGTACTGGAAGTGTTAAAGTGGCCCAGATGTTTTATGTCTTTCTAGGTACCATTGAACGAAGTAACGTCAACAAATTATGTATTTCTTATGCTACTTTTGAAATTACTTCTGCTTGTGAGAAGAAAAATTCTGTTTTTTATCTACCTTTCTAATAGGTCATAAATATTGAAACACGTGTTACGTACAGCTGCGTCGAACCACTTGTGAAAATGGTACTTTCTCGTGAAATAAAGGGGGGAAGTTGTGTTATTCATTTCAAGCATTGAAAACATTATTTTCTACAAGGAATATATGAATTTTAAAGTATACTTTGAAAAACATATAATTTCTATTATTTTACTCTATCTTCTATTATAGCAAGCGTTGTTCCGATAAACTAAACTTTTCCCAAACATCGCATTACCTTTAGCCTCTGTCATATTAAATTACAAAGAATATTCGAGTATGGTATCATGTTAAGAATTTTTTAGACAATCTGACCAGATTGTTTTGATTGCTATAACGGTAACTCTAATAAAGTGCTCTATGTGTTCTCAAAATTATGAGATTTTACAAAGAAATTTTCACAGTAATCCATAAAACTTGAGACCATGAGAACTGTTTCATACCTACACGCGTCACATTTAATGCCATAATTTGAGAAAGACTGACAGTCGCTTCGTGGATGAAATCAATGGTGTTCCACATACGGCCGCGATGCTAGGCCTCAGACACGCGAGAGAGGACATTCACGGTTCATCCCGTACGTTCACTTTTCACAATAGCCTCTCAAAGTTCCGACCTTCGGCTCCTCGACAAGTTGTACTCACAAGATCAAGTTTTTCTACGTTTCAGACGCAGAATAACCTTGTGTAATAGGTCAATGCATTCCTCTTGAAAAACGATCGCTCATGGAAGCGGGATGAACCGTTCACGCGAACAGTATTATACCTTGGCATCGAGCTACGGCGAGAGCTGCGTCCTTTATTTCGTAAGAGTCACCCTTCACTGACTGTCGCTTTAATTATGACCATCTAAATTATTCCTGTTGCCATTGAAAATATGAAAAAATGTGTGAAAGAATTTGCGCGGTTCATGGATCTTTGAGAAGTTTGTTTTCAATATCACCAGATGTAGATCACTGAACCATGTAACGCGTAACGACTATCCAGTCATCGTATTCATACTTCGATAGCAGCGAAGATAATGTAAATCCTCAGAATTAATAGGTCACCCTGTATATTCCATATTTATAGATCTTTTCTAGTAAATTAATATAATACAGGGAATTTCACAGTATATACAGTGAAATTTCGATAATGTGACATGCTCGGGACTTCGACATTACCAGATTATCAAACATCGCGGTTTATTGGATTACACCTGTAATGCGGTAAAAACGGGGAGAATAATTTTAAAAACAACCATGGTTAATATAGTAATGATATTAATGCTATTTATTAACAAAAGAAAAAACTTCTAATTTGTAATTTGATTTTGTAATTTCACCATATTCATGTCACTGTGCTTCAAAGAGTTAAAGGATGCACAGCCGAAAGGCAAACAACAAAGACTAAACATTTACATAAAAAACCACAATCTACCCATTAGAAATTATTGTATTACAAAAATGGCTACCACTCAATACCGAAATAGACCAGACGTTAATATTCATCCATTCCATCATCTTTGCATTCCCCGTACATCATCGCAGTAACTTGCGAGACACCACGTACAGAAACTACGAAACTTCTCGCGAACCATGCATAAGCAGAATCACAGGGTAAAAGTTTCCCTCCGGATGGGCGGAGTCCGCGGAGCGATCAAGGCGCAAAACGCTCGGAAAATTCGACCACGGTCGGCGACGAACGCCGGGAATTACAGTAATCCCAGCGTCGACTCGGCGGCGGCAGCTCACCTTCGCGAATAATTGTCCCGGCAAAAATCAGCCTCCGGCCAAGGGGGCAGCGAGCAGCGAAACTACCCGGGGTATATCCTACCTTTGTTCGGTTCCCGCGAACTTTTTCCGCCGCGCTGCGAAATTAATGACCACACCTGGCGCGCACCATTGCCAACGGTGAGGATGGAGAAGGGGCACCGAGAAGAAGACCGAGAAAGGGACTGTGCAACGAGAAAGACAGACAGAGTAGACATCACAGTGGAGGAGTCGAGGCAAATTCCACGGGCAGACGGAAAAGAGGAAAAGGGGAGAAAGGGGCTGCGCGAGGAGGGAGATGAAGAGTGGACCAGCGAGGAAAGAAAGACACTTTATGCTCCCTAATGACGCCGGGAATCCATCTTGGCCCCGGACATTGAAAAGATTACGCGCAAGTATGAAGGCCCCCGTCGCTAGATCGTCGGATGCTGCAGGACACGAGGATGACACCAGGTAAATGACAGTCATTAGAAAGAACGAGACACTAGTTTAGAATGACTCCGTCTCGCCGGAGGCCACGACGTCTTGGCCTCTATACCCCCCCTCCCCATCCTCTTAGCCCCTTCCTTCTTCTGTCTTTCTCGACCTGTACCTCGCTCTTGTTGCTCGTCGAATGTTACCGAAGGCAAAAGGGAATTCCACCGTCTGCTCTTACCCTACTGCCCTCCGGCGGCCGTTTGTCTTTTCTACGAGGGAAGTCTGCGATCCGTACTGGCTTTTCGGATGAAACTCGGGGCCGGAATGTATGCACCAGGGGGTGCTCGGTCGTAGAACATTAGCGGCTAATATTTCACTATTCTTGGGAAACATTATTTGAAAGATTTGACGTATTGAAACATTGTCGGGGTTGTGGTAGATAGTGACAGAAGCTTTGGATGTAGTTCCGAAAATGTATATCTTAGATTTTCATGGAAATTGGTGATATCACCCCAAATACTCCCAAACGAAGATATCATCGCCCTAATTCTTAAATGTTCTATCTCCACTAGTTTGTAAACTGAGAAAATTGAGTTTAC